AACTGCCACCACTGAATGAACACATTCGTGTTGCTGGGCAGGGGCCGGGGGTGCCGACGGTCTGGGCCAATCCCCTCTCCTGATCGCGGGGGGGAGCAGGTTTGGCCGGATGGCTCCCCGGCCTCAGTTGGGCGATAGGTATGTGGCGGGGCATGGTCAGCGGTCCTGCTGCTGGGGAGGTGAACGCACCTGCAGGGCATCCGCAATTACGCCTCACCGGGTTAAAAGTTTCTGGGTCCTGGATTTCAGTGTTGTTGTTGATGTGAGTTGGGCTGTGAGCTGCAGAGCTGCAGCTGACTGAGCGTGTTTGTAGCAGCAAACTTGATAAGTGTTAATAAAGATGCTGAAAAGCATGTATGTGTGGACATGTCTGACATGCCATTATTACAGTCACATTGTACTCTATCCATAGTTTTCAATCAGACTCACTACTCTGACATGCAAAACATTACTCCATTGTGACCACAAATAGACAGTTGGTAGTAATGCAGGACAAAGGTGGTTGTTTGTTCATCTGTCTTGGCTCGTCTATCCATGGAGGAAAAACAAAGATTTGAAGAGAAACTGAATTTTGGAGACTTGTGATCCATATTCTGTTCCAGCAGCTTTATTTAAATCCCTAAAAGTGGTGACTTCTCTCACAGAGCTCCAGTTCAGTTCCAGTTATATACATTTTCGATCTGGATGGGTAAACAATGCCACCATGGAACAGGTGAAGTACAGGAACTTGTTCATCATTGAAGCAAAGGTAAGCACTACATAACTAGCTCAAACACATTAAATCTTACAGTTTGTTGACCTGGACATTTACAGTGTGGAAAAGTGCCAGAAAGTCCACACAGAATTAATTTGTCACATTGATGTTGTGTATTGCAAGTAAAGTTATTCAAGTATTTTTTCAACGCCAGGTAAATCATTCCTACAGTTTAAATGAGAAACCCCTAACTGCCTGGGTTACTGTGAAGGAGCAGGGATGGTGCAATTTGGCCTAAGGCAGGGTTAGGAGAGGTGTGTTCATATGTTGATGCCATACTTTACACCCTTCTGGCAGCAGTAAATAAACACTAATTAGTGCATCTGATAGCACATAAACTACATCAACTATCTGGCGTTAAACTCAAACAAGTTCAACAAGTAGACGGCAAAGGACCACAGTGCTGTTTTTGCCTGCCAGGTTGGCATGCC